TTTTTTTTTTTAACACGACCGGCCTACATGCGGACCGCCCCGGAACTACCGTTAGGTATTGCCTCAGGGCGGCCCACGCCGTCTCTAAAACTCACACCACCACGTTGTGAATCAGCCCGAAATTAATCAAGAGCTGATTCACAACGTGGTGTGGCCTCCCCCGTTAGCCGGATCCCAAAAGTCGGGATCCGTTGCCCGGGTTGCACAACGTGGAGGTGGGGGCAGGACTTTGCGAAGGGGGCATAAAATAACTCACAAACATATAAACATAAACGCACTTATACCTAAGGCGCCGGCCTAAACCAGCGCCTTAGGTCCTCCTGTACCGGGCGGCGCGGCTGCCGCTGCCTCAGGCGTTCGGCTTCCTCCTTCCTTTTCAGGACGGATTCCGCGAACGCCTGGACGAGCCTCCACGCCTCCCGGCTTCCCAACATCAGGTCCACCAAGGACCCGACGCGGATCGTGGACCCCAGACGGGACTCCAGCAAGTCCCGTTCCTGGGCCCACGCCTCGCACCGGAAGAGGGTGTGCAGAGCGTTGTCTGCCTCTCCCGGGCGATCCTGGCAATGGTCGCACGTCGGCGCGGCTGCCCTCCGAATACCGTGAAGGTATTCGTTGAAGCAGCCGTGGCCGGACAACACTTGCGTGAGACGGTAAGACATCTCACCGTGTGTCCGGGAGCCTTAATCACTTACATATTCATAACCCAACATTTTAATGGTAAACTAGGTTTGTTTACGATTTTTTTCAACGAAAAAACATATTTTTTAATTATTTAAACAATTTGAAATAGAGTTCAAAACTAATAAATCAGAATAACTTTCCTTATTAGACATTGACGTTAAAAGTTTATCTTATCTACTAGAGCAATAAGTAATAATAATGAAGTCCAAAGAAAAGCTTAAATAAATTAGCGTTAAATTATAGTTATAACTACTTTTTGTGCATTAAAAATCAGTTGTACAGTAATATTAAAAATTTGATTTGTATATTAATTGAATTTTCGATTCTAATAAGCTAAGATTTGCATCTACAGCGTGTAAGTGTATATGTCAAAGCTATAATTAACTTAATTATAGAATACAAAGAATAAGTAAGAACAATGTATAGTTGCGATTTGGTGATTTAGGCGGAAAAAGGGAATTAATATGTTCCAATTTTTACCTAACGTGGTCCGCTCACTTGACGATATTATAATCAACTGAAAAGAAGATTTCAGGGTTTTTTTTTTTTTTTTTTGTGGGACCATATTACATCGAGTTTACCTTTTTCCACCCTGGTGTTCGTATGCATGCTCGGGACAGACTCACGTGGTCGTCTTCAGATTTTACATTCATCAACGACTTGGTAACATTCCATCCTCCTTGGGCCACCGCCGCTATGTCCTTGTGGAGCAAATGATCAGTGGCACTGGTCGCGGTACCACCATGATGGCCATGGTGTCCGAGATGGCTACCCGAAGCTGATACATCATCAGCGCTGGCCGCGTGTCCGGGTTTTGATGATCCGCCAAATGTCGGGGAACTGTAAATAAACATGTCGTATGATATTAATGATTTTGAAAAAAAAAATGATAAATCAAATTTTTATTCATGTATACAGTATACGTGCACATAGTTTTTATTTTATTTATATTTTTTCAACGTTTTCATTCTCCATTAATGTATACAATCTGTTCCGAATAGGTAAAATATGAGTATTAGCTAGAATAATATGACATGAATACTTGACAAAAGAAGCCACTCATTCATGACATTTCTATGTGAATATTATTTTTTTTTTTTCTAAACTTAGTGTAATATATCTACACTATTTGCGCTTTAAGCATCTCGAAGAATTACCAGAAATAACATTAGTTTAATGACTTTTTATTAGCTAATTCAAGTAAAAAGCTAGTTGAGTGTGGAATTTTTTTTTTTAATTTTATTGCTTCATCTTTCACAGTTTTAATTTGCAGGTCAATTTAGAGAGTGGAATTTTATACGCAAGGCATCGAGTTTGTTAATTTTATTAATGTAATCCATTTGAATTTGATTTTTTGGTATTTACTCATATTTGTAGGCTATAAGTCCAATGCGTTTGATGAAGGATTTATACATTAGTAGTTTCATATTTGAGTTTGTGTGTTTGTTATTAATGAGTAAAGTTTTAAGCATACGATGTCGGAGGTTTAATTGAAGTGTTTTTAACATCAAGTGTAAATAATATGTAATTTATAATGCACACTTTCTCATTGAAAAATAGTAATTTTATTCTGAAAGTCATTTTTTATACTTGGTAGAATTTTATGAACTCTTCCTTTAGATATGATATTTAGGAAAAGTTTCTATTACTATAATTAAAATGACACATCGCTCGTTAACGGGGTACCAGTGTATATAATGAGATTTAATTAAACGCTCATCGTACCCATGACAATCATATGTTAACCATCCTAATGAATTTCATCTTATGTGTATAGGACTTTTTGTTTTTAGACCGTCACTATGGTCGAAAGAGACAACAAAAAGGTAGTAATATCTGTCAACTTCCATTTTGATATCTGTCAAAAATTCTACAATCTTAATTAAATTTAATTATTTGCACATTAGATGAATTTTTATAACATTCTTTAAATGAATATGTTACAAAAAAATTAAAAATTAAATCTTTAACATATAATGCCGAGAATATAAAAAATACTCATCAAGTTATTATATTTTGTAGATTATCCAAAAACTGGACGTCAATTTTAGAAAAATACTTAAAAATTTTGATTACAACTGTTACCAAATGAAAAATTTTGAACAGCAATTGCGTAAAATTCTAAAACCTAAAACTAAGAGGAAATAACATTTTTGTTTGAATGTTTTTATTAAGAACAAGAATTTTATCGCATGTATTTGTTTTTTTATTTTTTCATTAGTAAAATTTCTATGACTTCTCAAGCTGGTGAAACGCGTGTGAAATTCATTCCCATGTGAATGAACATCATAGCAATGAGTTTTGTGAACTATACTAAATAATAGCATGTGATGAAACTGGCATAACCACTTAGTTTTTTTTTTGTATAAACTTTATTTAATATTAAAAACTGTACATGTTATAGTTTGTAAACATGACCATGAGTTTATAATAATTATTAAGTTCAATTAATTATGAAATGATTCTTAATTATTTAAAAACGTTTTTAAGAAATTAGAAATAAGATGAAAAAAAAATTGTTTCTTCTCGAATAAAATATACCATAGATCTAAATCATATAAATAACTATATATAGGATTTTATTAAATAAGGAAACCGTATTCTATTGTTCTTATTCTTTGTAACAATCGACCTATTTCCTTACTTACTGATCACTCTGTATAGTTCATGTAAATTTTTCTTTGCACTCTAAAACAAGCAATACCTTTCACAAAGAATGTTTAAGATAAATAAATAATTACAGTCGTGCAGATTGAAATAGGTAAAAAATCATTATTGCACTTACATTGGAAGGCGTAAAGTTAATGTTTTTAATTTTCCTATTAAGTTATCATTTATAGAAGACGTGCTTGTACTATTTGTTAAAAAAAAAACTTTATCATGACGTCTTTGGAGTCATAAATTCATTAATAAGAACAAGACTCGATGTTTTGTTTGGGTATTTATTGTTGCTAATTATAGACCAATTATTATTGCGCTTATTCACTGTATGAAAACCTAAGTTGTTATGGTCACATCATTTATCATTTTGCGTGTAACTGACATAATGTTTCATATTATTAGCATAAACCCTGTTAGGATTAGGATAACTTAGGTAGGAGGTATAGCAGCACCGGAAACACGTTCTGCCGTTTTACGATGTTGTTTGAAAGACCCATACGTCAATAATTAATTACCCTTCATAATTTAATAACGAATAGAGCACAATTATATTTAATCAGTATATTATTCATATTTCATAATTCTATACAGACCGGGTCTATTGGATAACAGTAACATTTCGCTGTGTTCACATTAAATTGTATATTTATATTTGTTTTTCTTTTCGAAAGAATTCTTAATTAACAATCTTTTTTTTTTATTTTGATAAATATTATTTTTTAGAATAATATACAGAGTGTTCAGTAAGTAAGAAAACTAGTAAATTGTTACAAATAGAAACGCGTTTCCTTACTAATTGAACACTCTACATAATCTTGTGAATTATAAACGTTTAATTAAAAAATAATGTCAACATACAGAATATAGCTATGCAATTAATAGTTAATGTTTTAAAATGAAATTAAATAATATAGTTTAGCCACCTGTGAGTTAATAGTTCAAGGGACGACATGGCAGAGTCAGTAATGCGGCAATGCTTGACGCGTACTTCTTCAAGTTTCATTTGCCAAGCGACAGATCAGTTTGGTAAGTCTCCATCGCTCTCTCCGGCGACGGACTAACCAAACCGTCTCGGGGTATCAATGGTTTCGAAACCTCCATCTTTGGGGAGATTATTTAGTCTAACTAAGGGCTATGATCCTTGATGTGGCTAAAAAAAAAACAAGTTTTTCAGTTTCTCCGACCAGAAATCTGCTTTATGCTTCAATAACAGCACTAGGAAGGAAATACACTCTCTGAATTTTATCTTTGTTGTGGCATTTAAAAAGCCCAAACGAAAAATGATTAATATTATACTATTCTGCCGTACGCTTGACGTTCGAGCATTATTTTTAACAACTTCCACCGAGTAAAACTCTCATATGAAACATAGGATATCGTGTAACGAAATTGAATCGCACCCCATTTTTATATCCTTCCTTTTTAGACCAATGAACAAAGTTCCGGAGGTCATACACAAACATATAGTAGTAAAATATAATAATTTTGTATATTTTTGTATGGATATTCCAAGACGTTTCACCAGAAAATAATTGGCCAGTTCTGATATAAAATATCTATCTTGATACAAAATACAACCTGAAAACTTTATCTAAATTATATTGATGATAATATTTTCAATAAATAACGAAAATATTCAGATGTGTTTTACATTAATAAAGTATAAATTTTGATAATTTTAAAAAGATTCATAAATTAAAATTTTACTATTAGACCTATGTTTATTTTATTTATTATTTTATAACTTCGAAGTGAATGATTTCACGTACAAAAATTGATTATTTTTATTAGTCACTTTTTTGTTAGAAAATCTATTCCGATGAAACGAATAAGAGGAAATGTTAATATAAATACTTTGAATATTCCAAATATTTTTATAGCTAATGGATATAAATAACACTTATGGCTAAGTGTTTTCGGTAATTTTCGAAAATCTTTATTTAAAATTTTATAATATCATGAAAATTTTACTTTTTAAAATGCTATAAAATGACAAATTCACTTAATATATTTTATATTTTTATCGATGCATAAGAAATACTTAATCTAAACATTACATTATATAATGTAACTTATCCTCTACATATAGTATAATTAATAGTGTTTACTTATTAATGAGCTTGGCCATCCGTATTATTATACAGAAAAATCATTTTCGATGTTTGGAATAAAAAAAATCATTTACATAGGTATGTTATTTAAAAAATTAATTAGGAAAATCTAAGTAACAATTACTATATAACAATAAATTATATATTTGATCATTCTACTCGACTAAATAATCATGTTTGTAAATATTTGAATTACAATTTAGATTCTAAATTTTAGTAGTAATATTATATTTATATAAAGTATATTATTAAATTTGAAAAATGGTTATCATCATAAATAAAAAATATGTTTCAAGAAGTAAAATATTTTATACATCACTTTTTGAGGTTCTTTTATAAAAAAAAATATTAAAATTCATAAAAATTTAAATCATCCAATTTACTATATAAATTAATCATCACATCGATAAAAAACATATATTAAAAATTAATCACTTGTGGCTAATATAATTTTAAACTAAAACTATATTCAAAATACTAATTTAAAACTAAAAAATAATTAACTCAAAAAACTACAAAAAAAATTACTAACAAATCGCTGATATGTATTTCGAGAACATTATCAACGCTAAACATATACTTTAATTAATAACTTTAGAAATACTAAAAAGAAAAGATGTAGTGTTTTAAGAAAGAATAAAACACTAGAAGTTATATCTATAGAAATTCTTATAAAGTTATAATTGAGCTACAAGCACAATTTTACAGCTTATACAGTCAAAATAATCAACTATAAATATAACACTAATTATTTTATTATTACTTCTTATGTTTTTTCATACTTGCAGTTTCAAAAATTTATGCAAGCTTTTAAATATTAGTGTTTACATTTCAGTATATTAAAATTTATTTTATAACAAAACGACTTTAAACTTAACAATGGCCGACTATATTCTGTACAATAAACATCTTCAACAGATTTGTTTTATTTTTATTATTATGATTTATGTCTTCATAAAAATAATAAAGTATTAAAATACAAACATTGATAGTATACTAAAAAAACATACATTAAAGACTAAAAAAATATTTAAACCACAGACCACAAATAAAATTTTAAACCTAAAA